AAAGCGGGGGGGCGGGGGGTTCACCCGGGGCCCGGAAACCGGGGGGGGGGGGGGGGGGGAGGGGAGGGCAGTTTCTCTCGACGAATGTGGCGGAAACGCTGCGGGAGAGAAGGAGCGGCGGCGGCGGCAGAGCTGGGGCAGGAGGGGGACAAGGGCACCAGGGTGATCCTCCGTCCCCGGCTGCTGGAGACGCGCGGAGGAAGGCGTTCTTGGGAGCGGGGAGGGTGCAAGCGGACAGGCGCGCAGCGGCGCTGGAGCCCCAGGCGGGCGCCGGGGGGGGGGCAGGGGGGCCTGCGTTCGATCCTCAGCAATATCGACAGCAGCAAGCGCAGCGAGGGTACGCCTCGCAAGGTGAGCACGATGAGCAGGAGGTTGGATGTCGGCCGAGGGGTCTCTCTCCCCCACCTGTCCTTGGCAAATGGTAGTTCGTGTTGACGTGGGATGGTGGTGATGATGGTTCTCGTGCAGCCACGGGGGCCGCCCCCTGTTTCCCGCTCCGCTTAACACCACTCACGGGGGCGTTTTTCGAATGTTTGCCCTTAATAATCTAGACTTCGTTGCTTACTTGTTTGCCTAACACACTACACCTTCGGCGCGGCAAATAACACGTCGCTGTCACACTCTCCAGAGCCGTGGGACAACAACAACAACAACAACAGCCACGACCAAGGCAACGACAAAAGGGACAAGGAAGGGGCGACAGGGGTGGCAATGGGGGGCCCGGGAATGGTATCGGAGGGGGTGCCGGGGTCAACCCCCCCCCCAAGAACCCCCCTACAGGAACAGGCTTACCAGAACATGTACCGGAATCAGCGCACCCAGGTGCGCATTGTTGACTCGAAAATTTCCCGTTACAGCAGTAGTGTGCGTGATTTTCGTCAAGGTCAGTTTACGGTTTTTTCCTGTTTTTTTTTTGTGGAAGGAGGAGCGAGTCAATAAACCACCGCCGACTGGGGGTATTAAACGCGAGGAAACCCCAAATTTTACGGACAGGTTTAGGTGTTTGCCGCTTCTGAGAACCGGTTAATCTGTGTAAGTTGGTAGAACAAAATCACAACACCGCGGACAGAATACTCAACTAAACATTCGAGTGCTCGGAGTGTAGTCCTTCACAGCAGTTAGGGTCGAGTGTCAGACACCTGCTGCGTCAGACACCTGCTGGATGATACTAGACTAATGTCGTTATCATCGGAGGGTTTGGTGTACATGTTATTGTCGTGGAGAGTTGGCACACACCACCGCTGCTCGCCGTCCGGGCGAAAGAAAGGTGTCACGAACGAGGAGGTTTCGTTGCGATCTCCCATGGAGGTGACCCCACGTGTTTTTTTAGAGAAAAACACAACTGCTGTCACATGCATACTGTTACGACAACAATCGACCGTGTTTTCAAAATACAAACATTTTTTTACCAAGTGTCACCATGCAAGCGACAACAGCAATCGAACATGTTCCACAAGCATTTTTTTTTACGATCAAATGTCACATGCATCCGACAACGACCTGTTTACAAATACGAACATTTTTTTTTTTGTTTGCCGTCAGCTTCCCGGGCAGGCGGTGGGGACACAGCAGCCGTCATCGACCCTGTTTCGGAGGTCCGGGGCGGGAGGCGTTTTCTTCATTTTCCTCGTCATGGTGTGCAGGTCCTTGAACCACTACGAGTATGCCGAGCAGATGGCCGGGGCCCTCAGGTAGGGTATGGGGCGGGCGACAGTTGCGCTGCAAAGAAAATATAATTAAAAATTAATCCGTTTTGCCTCTAGGCGCACTTCAGTGCAAAATTACTTTGCCTTTAGGCATATCTTAATAAGAAACAACCCGTTGCGTCTAGGCGTAAAGCAGTTGAGTGGTGAAATACGTTAGGTGCACAGCAGGGAGTGGTGAAATTTGTCGATGCCCCCCCCCTCCCGTGCGGGTTGTTGAGATGGAATTGGTTTTGGTCGTGACACGCATGCTGACGGCGACTAAAGCTGTAGAGGTGGGGGTTGAGGGAGGTACGTGCGTGAGGAGTGGCGACAGGTCCACCCGCGCTGCAGGCGGCACCGTGACAGAAAAAAAACAGACAGTTGAAAGCCCAGTGATATCGATAGCATAGCTGCCGTGAGTGACACGAGATACTACGCACCCTGGACCGATTTTCAAAGCTCGAGTGCTCCACAGTAGAAAGAGCGGAGGCGCCTGAAAATGGTGGTGTTGCAACCGTGTCATCGAGATCTTTCCGAGAACATGTCGTTTGATGCTGGCATCCTCATCGTCGTAGCCTAACCGAGCTTTGAAAACAGGTCCAGGGGGTGTGGTGTCTTGTGTCATGTCACCTACGGTAGGCCAATGAAAACAGTTTTTTTAATTTTTTTTTGGCAAAGTAAGAAGGAAGGAGTGGCCATCATCGGTGATCGGTCCTCTTGGAATAATGCTCTGTCCTCTCGAGGACGCGTTGTCAACGGTCTATCCGCTAAGGCGTGCAAACAACATGAGAGTATCCCCCCCCCCCCCTCCACAAACACATATCTCTCCCGCCTTTGCTTGCGACACCAAGCAGTCAATACCTTTCGTTTGTTCTGTGTGTGCGGTCCAGCTCTCTCTGTTTTTTCGCAAATACATTCATGAGTACACAGAAAGACTACCGTTCGAGATATAACCACAGCAGTCGAAAGGGATGTGAGTCTTTTCATTTTCAGTGAGTGGAGGGAAACCGGCTGGAAACTTACTTTTTGATTTTTCTCTCTTGTTTTCATCCTTTGTTTTTTTTTAACGTCTCAGGGCGATGTCTATGGTGCCGGCCGTGGGCCTGTTCTTGGGGAACCTGGTGTGCATGTGCCTCTCGCTGGTGGAGTCGGCCACCAACAAGCAGAAGGCCAGGATGAAGACGATGCTCACCGTCGATGCCGTGTGCGAGGTTAGTTGTCGTTGTCGTTGTCGTTGTCGTTGTCGTTGTCGTTGTTTATCGTGGTTGTTGTGTATCATCGTGGTTGCTTTTGTTGTCCTCACGGTAGAAACCGTTCCAATCTCTGCTCACTACCTTCTGACGTCGGTAGGACTGGTCCAACTGACGCAGACGCCTTTCGCGGTCACCCCGGCTAACTATGCATAGTTATTAGGGTACCTTACGAAAATCAACAGAGAAATCGAATGACCCAAAAAATACGTTCTGTTCATCTTTCACTCTTTTTTTCTTCATTTGCTTGGCAGAGACATTATTTGTTCTCCTATTTTTTTAGTTGCTTGGCAGAGACTATGGACAATAGACCTCGTTGCTTACCCCTCCCCCCCTCCCCTCCCCGTTTTTCTTTGTCAGGGGTTACTGCTGGTGTACAACATGCTGCTGCTGCTGGGCGGCGCGTCGGGGCTGGTGCCGAAGGAAGAGTTCGTCGGCCGCATCCTCACCAACGTCGTGTTCATGTCCCTCTGTGTCACCTTCGCCAAGGCCCGATGGGTGGCGGACGGCGCGTTTTGATTGGCTGATTGAAGGGGGGGGGGGGCGGGGACGGCCTATAGGCGGCGGCAAGTGGTGCTGGCCGTTGATTGGTCAACGTCTTGTCGGGAAAAGGGCGGACGGTGCGTTCGAGAGGGGGCGGCCTGGTCTGGCCGAGGCGGCGGCGGCAGGCAGTGCCGGTCGTTGATTGTTCAACGCCTTCTGGGGAAAGGGGAATGATTAACTGATTATTGGCAGGGCCAGCCTGGCCTGCCCGAGGCGATGCTGACCGGTGATTGGTCAAGCGTTTTGTCGGGAAAATGGAAGGCGGACGTGCGTTGTGCCCCGTCGTTATGCGGCAAGACTCGGAGGAGTTCTTCCGCTCTAGTGGTTGGTTCCGGTCAAAGATGAATGTCCAAAGCAATGCCTACGTACTTCCTTGAAACAGCGGGACCGAGTGCACGATGGGCGGTCGGGAGGGAGAGTGCCGTAAAATAGGCGGTGCTGTGGAGTGATTGGGATCGAGCAGCGCTTCCTACTATCTTTCGGGTCTCTTTTTTTTTTTTCTCCTTGTTTTTTGTTTTGTTTTGTGTGCGGAAACTCGCCGAACAGCCATAGGCTAGTGTTTCCGGTGTTTGAGGCAGCTGTGAATTTGGATGAGGCTTGCTGATGTGAGCGACCCTACCTCCCCCCCCACCCCCTCCCCACAAAAGGGGAAAGGGTCGGTCTGGGGCTGTTGTCCGTTGAACTGTCAA